AATAGAGTAGAAAAGAATAAATTAGAATAGAACAGAATAAAGTAAAATGGAATAAATATAGCCATCTTCCGAAATTCAAATTGATTTTAAAATAACGAATATAAAAAAACTAATTTGAATACACCAAAAACATTCAGAAAGTGAATAATTCTAACATTGAATATCATGAAATGAAATTATTAAGTTAATGAATGAATCCAAAACTAAACAAATTTTTCCGTGATGCACATCTCTATTTGATTTGGTGCATAACAAACGTTTTAAAAATGCGCAAACTTTGGCACCCAAGGCAATATCCCTTTCCTAGCATCAGCTTTATTACACAGAATACATTCTTATTTCAGTGTTCCTAACTAGGGATGAGCCTTGGGTCAGGTTGAACATGAGTTTGACCTGAGCCCAGCCTGTTCACAGTTTACCTGCCCTCCCAAACCTCCAGCTGATGTAGCCAGAAGTCCATCATTTAGCAGCAGTATCACTACCGCCTCCAAATGACAGAAATAGTAAATCAACAGGAATCCTGGGGACCGCGTTCAACATATTTAGTCATTAACCGATTAAGGACTGCCCTATAGCAGAAATACTGCTACATGGCGGCTCTTAAGCACAAAATCATGTGTATATACGTGATTTGCACTCCAACGGTTTTTCGCAGGTGGGGGGGGGTGGGCGCGTGCCTCTGCCGACCTGCGGGTGCCGTGATTTTCCTGAGGGATCAATCATCCAATTTAGGCCAGTGATGTCCGGCCAAAGTCGGATGATCAATTCCTGTCCTATCATCCTATCAGGGATCTTCCTGTACCTGTGTTAACAGTTACACAGGTACAGGAAATTATGACATCTTCTCTCTCTGGGCAAATTCCGTCCCAGAGAGAGAAGAATCAACATAATTGTGAGTACAAGCACTACACAATTTCAGTTAGAACACTCTAGGACACATATTTAACCCCTAGATCGCCCCCCCCCCCCCCAGTTGACCCCTTCACTGCCCTGTCACCAGCGTCATTGTTTTACTGTATTAGTGTTGCTGGCGACTTAAGATAGCGTTAGCATCAGTGCCCCTCCCAGATAGCGTCAGATTGCCTGTCAGTACACCAGTAATCACATTTAACCCCTTGATTGACAGGAACACGCACATACACAATAAACCTCCATTGCTAGCATAGTGTCTGAATGGATCAATATATTGGATCAGATCAGCACTATACCAGCGTTCACATTAGTATAGTGTCCCCAAAAACGCAGCGTTAGCGGGATCAGCCCCGGCACCTGCCAGCACCTGCGTTTAACACCCCTCCTTCTCTCCCAGCAAGTACAGTGTCAGTAGCTCACTGGCACTTGGTACATTGCACACAAAACTGCAGTGTTTGCAGAATCAGGCCTAATCTCTGTTACCACTTGCCGGTAAATTTTTTTGTAGCGGTTCAAGCAGTCCCTGACAGCCAGGTACTCTTTCTCCCGTGAGTCGCACTAGGTACATATAAATTTAGTGGTCAAAATGTCAATGGAAAGGTACTCTAGTGAAGAGGCCTACAGGATTCTGAGCATGTCAGGTGAGAGTGAAGGGGAAGACTCCCTGATACAATCAGCTTCAGAATACGAACCTGTAGACAGCAGATATCCTGACAGATGGCTCAGACGATGGAGAAGCGGACCCTGCTAAGATTAGGCATACCCGACCCCATTGTCAGGTTGCTGAGATGTTACAAACACATGATAACTCTCATACGCAGCAGAGTGCCAGTACTAGTGCCGCTCTACCTTTTGGTGAAATGGAAAGTACGAGCAGCCTAGTACATCCTGGTCTTTCACATACCAGCACTGCAGTATCACTTGGTGACGTGTCGAGTCCCAAGTGTAGTACAAGCTGGTGCGGTGGCAAGCACAAGTATTGTCCTGCAGCCACCAAGAATTCGCACACAGGCCCGTAGAGTCCTTAGTATCCTTCCGGACGTGCTGGATTAGCAGCCCACAAATTTTGTAGCACCCATACTTCCCCCATTCACTGCCCAACCCGGAATTCAGATGGAAACAGCAAAATTTAAATACTCCTCTTGATTTTTTTGGAGTTGTTTTGAAGATCTGTATGCATTGATTGTGGATCAAAGCAATTTATATGCACAACAATTTATTGCCGCCAACCCAAATTTAAACCTTGCCAGACCATTCGCATGGAAACCCATTACAGTTTCCAAATATTTTTTGAACCTTACCCTCAACATGGGCATTACAAAAAAAAATTAATTGCGGTTGTATTGATCCACAGACCCGATTCATCATATGCCCGTGTTCTCTGCTGCCATGGCCAGGCACAGATATGAGAGTATAATGTGTTTTATGCATTTCAATGACAACACACTCTGTCGTCCTCAGGGTGACCCTGAATTTGACCGGCTCCACAAAATTCGGCCCCCCGTAAATTACCTTAACCAATGCGAGCGCTGACCCCGTGCCAGTATGTAAACAACATACTGTGCATGTGAGGCATTGCCACGAACGTCAGATCAAGGGCAGTAAGCACTAGACCTCCTCTGTAAATCTAAAATGGTAGCTTGTAAAGTCTTTTAAAGCGTTGCCTATGGATATTAAAAATGTATGCAGTTTGTCACCGTTGCACGGGGCATGCACAGTTTTTAAATTATGTCATGTTTGGTATCTATTTACTCAGCATAACATTATCTTTTATAAGTTACTAAATAATTTTCCAATATATTGTGTTTTGTGCATTAAAAATAAAATATTTGCGTTTGAAAAATCGTTGCGTGAGTACTATGTGACATACAAAATTGCAGCACCCACCATTTTATTCACTAGGATATCTGCTTAAAAATATTCAAAGTAATTTCCTAGCAAAAATACTGTTTTTTTATGTAAATAGAAAGTGTCAGAAAATGCTTGATCTTCAGGTGGTTAGAAGAGTGAGTGATGTGAGGCATAAACTTCTAATGCTGGGCATAAAAAACGACCCCTTTTTGGAAAGTAGTCACCCCAAACTATTTGCTGAGAGGCATGTTGAGTCAATAGAAGAATTTATTTTTTACCACAAGTTTTTGAAAAATTACAAAAAAAATAAAAAAAACATTTTACACAAAATTGTCACTTAAATGATTTATTGCTCACACATGCCATGGGTATATGTAGAACTACTCCCCAAAATATATTCTGCTACTTCTCCTGAGTATGGGGGTACCACATGTGAGAGAATTTTGGCAGTCTAGCCAAGTACAGGACCCCAAAATCCAATAGGCACCTGAAATGCCAAGATAGCACCCCCCCCCCCCCCCCCCCCCCCCCCCCACAAAGACTCCTTTTTGGAAAGTAGACACCCCAAGGAATTTGATAAGAAGCATTGTGAGTACTTTTCAGATCTCGTTTGTTGCCACAGATTTTTGGAAAAAGAAAGAAGACAAAAACATGTTTTCTTTTCTTTTTGTTTATATTTCAAAACCTTGTGGGAAAAAATGAGAACTGCAAAATACTCACCATGTGTCAGGAATGGACTGGCCAGCAATGGTGGGACTCACCTGCCTTATGGGCTGCAGTACCAGGGCTGGCCAGTGGGTGCTCCCAGCAATCAGAGACTCAACCTTGCAGCCAGCCAAACACCTGAAACTGCTTATGCTGGTGTATTTAAGGGATGGCCAGACCTGCAGACTCTGCCTTGGTGTGTGTGTTTCTCCTGGGCCCTGTATCCTGTTCCTGCAACCCTGTTCCTGTTCCTGTCTGATTCGTTGCTGACCCTGCTCTGATCCCTGGCTTTGTCTGACCATTCTCCTGCTCTGATCCCTGGCTTTGTCTGACCATTCTCCTGCTCTGGTCCCTGGCTTTGTCTGACCATTCTCCTGCTCTGATCCCTGGCTTTGTCTGACCATTCTCCTGCTCTGATCCCTGGCTTTGTCTGACCATTCTCCTGCTTTACCCCATGCGTTCTGACCTCCTGTTTATGATCCGGCCTGCCTGACGACGCTTGCATTGTATGTTTTGTTATCTGTGGGTGGTTTGGTTTGTTTGCACTGTGTTATGTTTTAGTATTGCACTGCGTTTATGTTTGTATTGTTAGTCTTTAATAAATTATATTGTTTATAACTTATCTGAAGCCTGCGTTTCCCTGCGTCAGTCACATACCTCTGGTCATACCCAGGAGCCCTGACATTACACCAAGGCCAATCCTGACCAGAAGTGGCTGCACAGGGAAGCATCTTGGTTTGTTGATGGGAAGGATGGATCTTGATGAGGTTGTGTATTTATATCTGCTAGTGTTTGATGACAGAGAATATGCTTATCAAACTCTGAAGGAGTATCCCAGGGATGAACTGCTAGAATGTATACGGCTCGCTCATGTTCTAGTAGATCAGGGCACAGAATTCTCTGAGGTGCAGCCATTGATTCAGGTTTGTGCGGAGTTGGTTTCATCTGGTACCCCCGAATGCAGGGATGAATTTTTGCCGCCATTTAGTGCAGACCAGGTAGAGTCCCTGGTATGGTTATTAGAGGATGATGTGGATTACTTTCTGGAGCGTTATTCTGCATGTTCACCACAGATACTAAGAGATTGTATAAACGCAGTGCAGTCATTGACCAGACAGGCTTTGTGTAAGCTGAGCTTTGTTCAACCCATACTGCAGACATGGACAGATTTGTTGCACCCAGCCTCAGTCAGCTTGCAAAAACCCAGTCCTGCTTCTAATCTATTTCCTCAAAGCTCTATTCCTGCATTCCCAACAGCTCCTCCTGCCCTGCTATCTACCGCATGTCAGTACCCTGTTCCCACTCGCTGCACCTATCCTGCCTTTAACCCTGTAAAGAAGTCCTCTGTAGCAACTGTTCCCTCCCCTGTTCCGTTTGCAGACCTGCATTTACTTGCAGTGCCCCAGTAGTTAAAACCAGAAAAAAGCAAAAATTCTTTCCAACCAGTACCATCCTGCCAGTATCCAAACTGGTCAGCCTGCCGTCTGAGAACCGGCCTTCCGTGGTTCAGCCTGGTGCATCGGAACCCGCACTTCAGCCTGAGGTCTGTACCCAGCCTGATGCCTGTACCCAGCCTGATGCCTGTACCCAGCCTGATGCCTCTACTCAGCCTGATGCCTCTACCCAGCATGATGTTTCTACCCAGCCTGATGAACTGATCCAGCCTGATGATCCTATTAGGCCAGTTGACCCGATGCCCGCTGTCGAGCCAGACAATCCAATGCCTGTGACCCGGTGCCCACTGCCTTGCCAGATGACGCGGTGCCCGCTGGCAAGCCAAATGACCTGATGCCTGGTGACCCAGTGCCCGCTGTCATACCTGGTGACCCGATGCCCACTGTCGAGCCAGACAATCCGGTACCTGATGACCCGGTGCCCGCTGTCGTGCCAATTGACTTAGAGCCCACTGTCGTGCCTGGTGACTTGGTGCCCACTGTCTTGCCAGATGACGCGGTGCCCGCTGTTGAGCCAAATGACCTGATGCCTGGTGACCCGTTGCCCTCTGTCCAGCCAGACGATCCAATATCTGACCCAGTGCCCGCGGTCATGCCAGTTGACTCGGAGCCCACTGCCTTGCCAGATGACGCGGTGCCCGCTGTCGAGCCAAATGACCTGATGCCTGGTGACCCGATGCCCGCTGTCCAGCCAGACGATCCAATGTCTGACCCAGTGCCCGCGGTCATGCCAGTTGACTCGGAGCCCACTGCCTTGCCAGATGACGCGGTGCCCGCTGTCGAGCCAAATGACCCGATGCCCGCTGTCCAGCCAGACGATCCATTGTCTGACCCAGTGCCAGCGGTCATGCCAGTTGACTCGGAGCCCACTGTCGTGCCTGGTGACTCGGTGCCTGTCGATCCGCCTGGGGGTCCGGCGCCCGCCGCTCCGCCTGGGGGCCCGAGACCTGTCGCTCCGCCTGGGGGTCCGGCGCCCGCCGCTCCGCCTGGGGGCCCGAGAACTGTCGCTCCGCCTGGGGGTCCGGCGCCCGCCGCTCCGCCTGGGGGCCTGAGACCTGTCGCCCCGCCTGGGGCCCGATGCCTGTCGCCCCTCCTGGGGGCCCGATGCCTGTCGCCCCGCCTGGGGGCCCGATGCCTGTCGCCCCGCCTGGGGGCCCGGCGCCCGCCGCTCCGCCTGGGGGCCCGATGCCTGTTGCCCCATCTGGGGGCCCGATGCCTGTCGCCCCGTCTGGGGGCCCGATGCCTGTCGCCCCGCCTGGGGGCCCGATGCCTGTGTCGCGCCGCCTGGGGGCCCGATGCCTGCTGCTCCGCCTGGGGGCCCGGTGCCTGCTGCTCCGCCTGGGGGCCCGGTGCCTGCTGCTCCGCCTGGGGGCCCGCTGCCTGCTGCTTCGCCTGGTGATCCGATGTGCCTCTGCCCGGAGTCCAGCCCGATATGCCTCTGCCTGGAGTCCAGCCCGATGTGCCTCTGCCCGGAGTCCAGCCCGATGTGCCGCTGTCCAGAGTCCAGCCCGATGTGCCGCTGCCCGGTGTGCCGCTGCCCGATGTGCCGCTGCCCGATGTGCCTCTGCCCGGAGTCCTGCCCTGTGTGCCGCTGCCCGGAGTCCTGCCCGGTGTGCCAGTCTTTGATATCCCGCCAGTTACCAGACCCGGGCGGTGGAACATTTTGCCCAGCTAGGACTGTTTGGAGCGTCCTGAGGCCGCTCCTTGAGGGGGGGTACTGTCAGGAATGGACTGGCCAGCAATGGTGGGACTCACCTGCCTTATGGGCTGCAGTACCAGGGCTGGTCAGCGGGTGCTCCCAGCAATCAGAGACTCAACCTTGCAGCCAGCCAAACACCTGAAACTGCTTATGCTGGTGTATTTAAGGGATGGCCAGACCTGCAGACTCTGCCTTGAAGTGTGTGTGTTTTTCCTGGGCCCTGTATCCTGTTCCTGCAACCCTGTTCCTGTTCCTGTTCCTGTCTGATTCGTTGCTGACCCTGCTCTGATCCCTGGCTTTGTCTGACCATTCTCCTGCTCTGATCCCTGGCTTTGTCTGACCATTCTCCTGCTCTGATCCCTGGCTTTGTCTGACCATTCTCCTGCTCTGATCCCTGGCTTTGTCTGACCATTCTCCTGCTTTACCCCATACGTTCTGACCTCCTGTTTATGATCCGGCCTGCCTGACGACGCTTGCATTGTATGTTTTGTTATCTGTGGGTGGTTTGGTTTGTTTGCACTGTGTTATGTTTTAGTATTGCACTGCGTTTATGTTTGTATTGTTAGTCTTTAATAAATTATATTGTTTATAACTTATCTGAAGCCTGCCATTTCCCCCTTATCCTTCCCCTACCCCTCCCTCTCACTGAGAGGAGACATTTGGCCAGTGTGTGTGTGTGTGTGCTGGTTATGGGTCACTGGCCAGCCAAGGCATCTCTGATCTAGGTGCCGAGCTGTCTGTGAAAGCTGTATCCTTTCTCACCTAGGAAGAGATAAGGCCAGCTTTCCCAAGAGAGTTGGAGTCTCACTGTCCAAAGCACCTGTGTAATTTCACACCTTGTAAAAAGATAATGGAGCCTTCCCAGGAGTTCAAGGCATTCCCAAGAAGCACACACCAGATAACATTTTTAAAAGATCCATATTTCCCCTATGTCTCATATCTTGGAATATGAAAGACTTACATAAAAACCGGAAACCTCGTCAGATGGCCAATGAGCAGGCGAACAGTTTGATCGCTTTGCCTCGGACCATCAGGGAAGCCGAAACATAGAACTCGTGAACCATGCAGTATATAATTTTATAATTCATATCTAAATAATCCTCAGACTTGTCTGCATAATAATATACCCGCGGGTGGACTGTCGCTTGTGCAGATGGAAAGTTATGGACCAGAATATGAGTTATGAAAGATGTTGATTCCAGTTTAGGGCTCCGCCTGATGATTCCTCCCTAAACAGGGGATTGGTCCTTTACTTCAGAGCCACCCCTGCTGGGAAACTTTAAAACAGGCTGTAAAGCCTAAAAGTAAAGTTGAAGACGTCTCCCATTTTAACATCAATACCACCTGGGGGAGACCCGTGCCCCTTCTGCTCAGAAACTTGATCTGCTTACATCCAAGGCTTAATGGCAAGTACCTTAACCCTTTAACCTCTCTCTGATCTCTCTTTGCTGTGCTGCTATTCTCTGTATATTTACATATATATCTTAGTTACATCTTTTTTCTGTAAATATTTTTATTGCACCCGTTTGACCTTTTAGTAATAAATCTTTCTTTCTGAAAGTGTTGAACTGTTTCTATAGCTCTGTATTGCAACTCACGAATTCCTGCCTCTAAAGAGACGCTACTGTTTGCTTAAACCTCTGTATAACCGGCCTGCGGACCGTTTTATACAGATGATTATTTCAATCATTATAGTGTTATAACTGATAACGCGAGTTTCCTCTTTCTCTGTACAAAAAGGAGGTGGTGGCAGTGTGGAGGGTTAGTTGCGTAATTAACCCAACCCAGTAACAATCGCCCAGGCTGCCGGTACATCGATTGTGGCCCGTTAGCTGGAAAATCCTTGTGCAGGGTGCAACTGGGCGTGGCATTGTTACGCACGTCACATCGCGGTTTTAGATTGGCTAGTACTTCGGTCACGAGTTTGGTGAGAAGGTCTGGGGTCTGACGCTGCGATCATGACATATTAGACATCGTGATCGTGGAATTGTCGCATGTTGGTGGCGGCGATCTTGCGATCGTGACATCTATGCCATAGTTTGTAGATGCTATAACTTTCACACAAAGCAATCAATATACACTTACTGGGATATTTTTTTTTTACCAAAGACATGTAGCAGAATACATTTTGACCTAAATTTATGACTAACTTTAAGTGTTTATTATATATTTTTATAGCTGAAAGTAAATATCGTTTTTTTTTTTCAACATTTTTGGTATTTTTTTGTTTATAGCGCGAAAAACAAAAAGTGCACAGGTGATCAAATACCACCAAAAAAGCTCTATTTGTGTGAAAAAAAGGACATAAATTTCATTTATGTACAGTATTGCATGACCGCGTAATTGTCAGTTAAACTAGTGCAGCGCTGTATAGCAAAAAATGGTGTAAATTGCAGTATCTATACCATAGTTTGTAGACGCTATAACTTTCACACAAAGCAATCAATATACACTAATTGGGATTTTTTTTACCAAAGACATGTAGCAGAATACATTTTGGCCTAAATTTATGACTAACGTTGAGTTTACTATATATTTTTTATAGCTGAAAGTAAAAAATATTGGGGTTTTTTTTTTCATTTTAGGTCTTTTTTTGTTTATAGCACAAAAAAATAAAAAGCCCACAGGTGATCAAATACCACCAAAAGAAAGCTCTATTTGTGTGAAAAAAGGACGTAAATTTTGTTTGGGTGCAGCATTGCATGACCGCACAATTATTATAATACAGTATTTATATAGCGCCAAAAAGGTTTGCTCAGCGCTGTACATTATAGTGGGGGACAGAACATGAGACAATATGGTTCGAGGGCCCTGCTCTTTCGAGCTTACAATCTAGGAGGGAGGGGATAGTGGTACAGGAGGAAGTGGCTGTGGGGGATGGAGTGGTAACCAGTTGAAATAGTGCAGCCCCGAATAGCAAAAATAGGCCTGGTCAGGAAGGAGGGTAAATCCTCTGGGGGGCAAGTGGTTAATGTCACCCAGATTTAACAGCACTGTGTTTACATTCCAGCAGCACCAGAGAGCTGTGTTTTGCAATGGAAGGAGCAGGAGGACAGCATTGCTTTGTCAACAGATCTATACATTGTTGGGCACTGCTCATTGTGAGTCACATGATTCTACATTGCTAGGTGACGTAATTAACATTGGATTTACATCAGGGGGCATTGTTTATTCATTTATTTATTTTTAACCATTTACCCCCCCCCCCCTCCTTCCTGACCAGGCCATTTGTTGCGTTATGGCGCTTCGTTACTTTAACAATTGCGCGGTCGTGCAACGCTGCACTTAGATTAAATCTATGTCCTTTTTTTCCCACGTATAGAGCTTTCTTTCAGTGGTATTGGATCATCTATGTGGTTTTTATTTTTTATGCTATAAAAAAAAAGACCGACAATTTTAAGAAAAAAAAACAATATTTTTTTACTTTTTGCTATTAAACATGTCCAGTAAAAAAATGTAAAAAATCAAATTTCATCATAAAATTTAGGACAAAATGTATTCTGCTAAATGTCTTTGGAGGGGAATTGACTTGGTGTCACTGACATTCCCCAGTGACACCAATACAGTGATCAGTGCTATAAAAAAAAAGCACTGACACTGTACTAATGGCACTGGGCAGGAAGGTGTTAACATGTGGGACGATCAAAGGGTTAACTGTGCTGTTTTACATAGTGCTGTGTCCCTGTGCTTCACTGTAAGGCCACTGCTATGCATGACTGTGCTGCACAGCCATGCAAAGCAGTGTGAACGAGCTGACAGGGAGGAGAACTTTCAGAATAACGGCACAGGTAGGGCGCGCCCTCTACCCAAAAATGCGAAGTCACGTATATACACATGATTTTGCGCACCCGTGCCGCCCTGTAGCTGTATATCTGCTATAGGGTGGTCGGGAAGCTGTTAAATAAAGGACTTTTGCTACCTTGTGAATGTTATTATTTCAATTTTGTTTCTA